TTCTGGTAACTTCTCTTGGATCTTAGTAAAACGATATCCCTTTTTTTTGTCAATGGTTGTTGTGATATAATCATGCGACTTCAGGTCCTTTGTGCTTGTGAGATCAAAACATTATGTGAAGCAAAACTCTTGCTAATCAGTCGTGAATCATACTTCTTCATTGAAACCATAAAGATGTTGCGACTTCAAATGGTAAATTTTTCAGATGAGAACCTTTATTGCTAGAGCCTTACGAAACCTTGTTGCCTTCGTTGTTACTATATCATTCTGCACCATAGTAGCATTTGCAGTTTTGCTCAGGTGCTCATATTGTGACTTTGTAGTCGACTTTAGTGGTGCATAATTGTTGTTGATGTCAGGATCAATATAGATGTATTGGTTTCTCTCTGGCTCGTTTGAGTCTTCTTTTGTCGCAGCAAAATTGAATAGTTCTTCAATGCTCCCACATTCATCTAATTGCTCTTGTATTATTTCTTTGACAATATCAACAACACGACAATCGTCTTCTTCATAGCATTGTAGTGGGTCGAACACATTGAATGTAATTTGTTTTTCATTGAGATGCAATGTGAGTTCTCTCTTTTTGACATTAATCAATGTTTGTCTAGTAGTCAGGAATGATATTCTCAATATTATGGGAACCTTTTTGTCGGTTTCACAGTCCAAGACAATGAAATCAACTAGATATATAAATTTTCCACTCGTACAATCACATTGTCAATCTTGCCTTTACGACATATGACGGATCGATCAACGAGTTGAAGTGTAACTGTTGTGGGTTGTACTTTCCCAATGCTAAGTTTCCTGAAAATAGACAAAGACATTAAGTTAATGTTAAAGCCTAAGTCACGTAAAACTCTACATATGTATTGATTGCTAATAGTGCAAGGAATAGTAAAACTCCTTGGATCTTTTAATTTTTTGGGCAATTTACTCGTGACAATGGTGTTACACCCTTCAATGAGTTCAACGGTCTCAAAATCACCAATCTTATGTTTCTTGGAAAGAATCTTCTTTATAAATTTAACGTATTTTGGTATTTTCTCTAATGCTTGTAACGGATCATGATGTCGTGGACGGATCATGATGCACATTTCGCGGAAGCAAACAAATTATAATTTCTTAATATTCATCACACACAATGTTCAATGTAACTAACATGCAATTGAATCTCAATTAAACATACAAACATTACATTTAAATGTTTAGAGGTATTTCAGTCATTTCACATATTATAATAAATCAACAATTCAAATCACCCAATTAAGGTTACCACATGTTAAACATTGTCAAAAGGAAGTAGCACGCAAAATTTCATACCAATCGGACATCAGATAATCACTCAATTGATCATACAAGATTAGGGACCTAAACGTAAATATGTAAAACTTATGTACCAACTAGTGATATAAAATTAAGGGTTCCATTATGCAATTAAGTGTGTTTAAGAAGTGTCACTCAAATCTCATCAAATTTCCAATTTAAGAGTTTAAGTAATTAAACAAATCAATTTCTGGGTTAAATTGAACTCACATAATCATTTAGGGGTCAAATTAGAATTTAAAGAATACTTAAGACCTTTAATGAATATAATTTCACCTTTTTCTATCGATCAAAACAACGAAGGGGTCGATTTTTTCTTGAAAGGGATCGATCCTTTTTCACGGGGATCAATCCTTTTGAAAATGGATCGATTCTTTACAAAATAGAAACTTTGGGATCGATCCTTTCTCTTAAGTGATCGATCATTTTTTCTTAAAAATTGTAGATTTATCAAGAAAATGCATATTTGGTCAACTAATCACCCACATAAAAGTAATCATGGACTACAAACATGCTTGGACACTATTCAACCGCTTCATACATGTCAAAACAAATGTATAATATGCTTTATAACACAAGTCAACATATTAATCAAGGATTTGACACCAAAAGTCATCAATTGTATAAAAGTTCATTTCAAGCACAAGTAACCTACTCATTTTTGGCATTTAAGGTTGTTTCATGCAATCTAAGAGTCTAACACGTTTAGTTTACCAAGTTACACTTAACTAAACACTCTAAACACTTATTTAGGGTCTAAAACAATATTTGAGTAATTTCATGCTTCAAGAAACAAGTTCATACTTGTAAATCCAAATTCAAAAAATCAAACCAACATCAAATACAAAACATAAATCCACTTATTACAAACCAAAATCCATCATTATAAGTCCAACAAAGTGAATAATAGATCTAAGTCCCAAACGTCCCCACATTTCCACATAAAGTTTCCGAAAACCACATACATATAGCTTTATGCCTTAGCCTTGCTTGATCACACTGATGCCAAGCTCTTCGCCTCCAAACTCGACTCTAATCCTCTGAAAAATGTTAACGAGTGTGAGCTTATAAAGCCCAGTGAACGACTAACATTCAAAGCAATGCACATAACCAAGACAAATATCAATCCTACATACTCATGCGTAACTTGTTCTTTACTCTACACATATAATTCAACATCTCATGCTTAAATGACCAGCTAAAGTTTTCCAAATCACTTGATTCCAGATTAAACAAACATCAAGGACCATATAGTTCAAAATCAATCAAAAGTACACATGCACAATTACATTCCTTGGCAAATCACACACATTTTTCCATTTTAAGATCAACGACTTTTGTTCAAAACAAAATTCACTCATTGGATAAACGAACTCAATACAACTCCCATTTTGCTTACACTCACATAGATCCAAAACCACGATTTACAGAGCAAACTCAACGCCCAATCTTACCCCGTATCTTCTTAGAGCAAAGAGCAACATACCATCTGAATCCCGTATAATCTTGAATCACACACTAATACAAAACATATAGAGTACTATTTTCTAGGCATGCCTTTCATATCCAAAGGTCCTATTAAGATCAATAACTAATTAATCTGATTCACCAAGAGCGGTTGTCAATGATGCATAGTTTTCTCATATTGATTCATATACATTTTGATGCACACTTACTGATAGTTGTAATGATCAACCCACATATTTGGATAGTGAGAAAGTTCAGCTTATCCAATTCACATTCAGAATATATATAGATTTTCACAAACCGTTTCCAAAATCCTATACATCATTTGCAACACATCACATTCATAATTCACATTCTCATTTCCGACACAAGTGGCATCATATTTAATCAACATAATTCATATTATATCGTCATAATTAACCAAATAACACAATATATCGGAATTACAAATGCAACACTACACAAACCTCAACCTTGAATCATGTTCATTTACTAAGAATGAGAACCACTTACCTTGCTGTCTGGAAAACGAAAGCGCTTCCAAACACTATCTTAACATTCACCAAACTCAAAGCACCAAGTTTCCTCAACTAATAACACAATAAGAACCTTGCAAAGCAAATTAACACATCAAAATCTAATCTAAAACAAAGCAAAATCCATTGTTTCTAAAACAAAGTGCAAACATCGAAAACCTTACCAAAGCGTCACTCCGGAATCTCCAAATCGAAACTCACAAATATCCACACTAAAAGATGATAAACAACCTCACAAATTAACATACACAAACCTGAATTCTTGGATTCCCAAAAAATACCAAAAATCGACATTATTTTCAAGAAATCAATTTCAAATCATTTGCAATCGAAAAACTTATTTAATATGATTATAATCAATCCAAAAACAAATAAATTTCATTAAGAAAACCTCAAAACCAATTTAAGAAATCAACACATTAATTAGCTCTGAAAATCAATTGAAATCTTAGAAATCCTTTCAATTAAATCAACAATTCATTGGAATCATTAACATTTAGTCACTTGCCCTCGAATCTTGAAAGAAAACCAAGAAAAATATCCTTGCCTTGCTGGAAAATGAATTGAAATTGAGATCATAAATAGAACTACATTATGATCAAGCTTTAAAAACAAGAAGAAAAGAGAAGAGAAACTAGAGAATTAAAATCAAGATTGAGATTAGTGAATTTTAGAAATCAAGAAGAAAAAGAGAAAGAATTGATCAACTTGTTTGGAAGAAAACAAGAGAAAATGGAGGAAGTTAAGAGAAGTTACTAAAATGTAAAATGGGAAGAAAATGAAATGCACATGAATAAAAACAAGTAAATGTAATTTAAATTAAAATAAATCTAGATGGAAAATGGTAAAAAAGGAAAATTAAAACATTTTAATTTAGAAGGAAAAACTCTAAACATAAGCTTTGGTATAATTGTTTCATAGGCTTTGGACATTGTGAAAATTTACAAAATGATCACCGAAATTATAATTTCCAATTATTTCAATACAGCCGCAAAATCATTTAATTAAACTTCTATAATTAAAATTAATCATATAAAATCACTTAAAACCTTTCCAAAATATTTTTAAAAGCAAAATATAAATTTTAGAAAATTTGTTTCCTTTTTATCGGAAATCCGGAAATCAACCCAAAATCGACCTTAACTACCAGACCCAACTTTAGGACGTTACAATTCTTCCAGCAATAGTATGTTAACGTGCAATTGCCGCAACACTTCAATGAATTTTCTAAATTATCGGTCTCCTTACTTTTCTGGAATGTTTGGGGGAATGATAGAGGTGGCCTCATCTGTGGTTGTTGTGGCATCGGGGTTGAAACAACATTTGGCAGCATTCCTTCTGGTAATGGTCCATAATTACTACAATGGCCCAATTCTCTTGTTGTGGCACTAATAATGGGGCTTTTAAGATCAACTTCTATACCCTTGCCCTTGTCATGCTTTGTAGTCTCTTCATCAGTAGTCTTATTGGGGTCCTAAATATGTTTCCTAATGTGGAGACTACTTCGAGTTGTAATGGCCTTGCAATGCTCATTGCAATGATATTTCCCATGTGGCTTTGGGTTCTCGGTGTTGCTGGGCAACACTTCTTAATGTATACTCCTGATTGAATTAGCTACCTGTCCAACTTGATTCTTCAATGCCCTCAATGATGTTGTCTGGCTTTGGATCACAGCATTCCTCGTGATGTACTTCTTCAGTAGAGACTTAAGAAATGTCGATGTTGAAGCTGAGACTTGGTGAGAAGACTGCCCTTGAAAATTTTCCTGATTATTGTGTTATTGTTGTGGCATTGCTTGATGATGTTGAAACATTGGTTGCAGTTGAGTATATTGTTTTTGTGAATAATGCTATTGTGTATTCCCAAAATTGAATTACAATGCTATATTGGGGTTGTGATGATTCTAGAAATTTAGATTGTAGGAGCTCTCATATATGTTGCCATTGTTATTCATGTTATAATTCTCACAAAATACACAAACTCGAGGTTTTATGGACATTCCTCAACATTATGGCTAACACCACAATAAACGCAAGAAACAAAATATGTAGCTTTTAGCTCATACATACCTCCAGGCTTTTGCATTCTCTTCATTATTTCAGTCAATGCTATCATCTATATAGTCAATGTATTCAGAGAATCATTGTCCACTGCTATACAACACGTCTACTCCACATAACCCTTGTAATGGGGTATTGGTAGTCATTGTTAGAAATCTTCTCTAATATATCATAAGCTTTGTGTTGGATTTATCCAACAATGCTCCATTGGTAGAAACATCTACAACCATCCTTGTTTGCATGTTAAGTCCATTTTAGAATATCTTCATTTGGATCTAGTGCTGGAAATCATGCATCGAGAATTTCTGTAGTAAGTCTTTAAATCGCTCCTAAACTTTATACAAGTTCTCATCCTCCAATTGCTTGAAGGATGTGATGTTGTTCCTCAATTTAGCATTCATGTTGGGTGGGTTGAATCGCATCAAAAACTTTTGAGCAAGTTCATTCTAGGATGTTAAATCACCAGGTGGCAGCGAGTTAAGCCATGCTTTAGGTTTGTCACAGAGCGAGTAGGGAAACAACTTCAGCTTCAAGGCTTCTTCAGGTACTCCTTGCTGTAAAAACGAGTCACACACCTCCATGAACGCTCTAGGGGTGTACTCTAGAATCTTCGGTCAATGCTCCACCATATTATTATATCAATAAAATGGTTAAATCATGATTTCGATCCCTTTATTATGCTTAAATTTGAGATTTAATCTCTACACTTTAATTTATCATAATTCGGTAATTCTATTATTATAATGTCATCGGTTAATCAAAACACCAATGTTGAGTATTTTTCCCAAGAAAACACTCATCTTGAATTGAAAGAAGTGTTTTAACAATACAATTTCAAAATGTTGAATTGATTAGAATAAGTTAATTAAGATTTAAATGAATCAAATAATCATTTAAAGTATAAAATTGATCGATTATTTTTTAATTTTTTAAATCGAATCGAATCCAATTTGATTACTTGGAAAAGAAATAATTGAAATAATTGAAAACATGAACCCAAATTATGCGTGGCTAAAATCAGCAGATTTGTATGGTTGGAAGTATATATCTTTATTGTGGATATATACCCCTCAAAAAGTTGAAAATTCTCAAGAATAGTGGCTATAGTTTTCAATCTTACTTTTTCTTATCCCCTTTCCTTTTCTTTTGTCAACAAAGATTTTGATTGTTTGAAACAATGTTTTTAAAACCAGACCGGACCTTAAACCGGTGAAGGTACTGGTTCACTGGTTTAACCGTGGTTCAACCGGGTTGAATCGGTTTATATAAAATAATATTTTTTTTAAAATTTTACATAATATTCAAAGAAATACCAATATATATATATAACAATCTTTTTAAGTTTACAATATTAAAAGGTATAAAAATATCACAAGTCATATCATATATAAGTTAAATACCATAAAATCAAGTGAAACAAATTGATTCAAATCAACTACAACATAATATTTAAGGTCAATACCTAATGGAATTCATCAACAACTAAATAAAAAAATTATATAATTGATACAAGTATCAATCATCATGATCATAAAATAAATTTGGGGCTGAAAAAAAATCATAACAAACGACGTCGTTTGATTTATTTAAAAAAAAACAGAAACATGTGAACCGGTTTTGTCGGTTCCCAACCGGTTCTTTAGCGGTTCATTGTAAAACTGGTTTTGGAGGTTGACCGGACCGGATAGGCAACCGGTTCCCGGTTCAACCGGCCGGTCTGGTCCGGTTTTGAAAACATTGGTTTGAAAGATGTATGCTTGTCAACATGTTACTCCGTCTTTTCATTTTTCCTAATATTACTACCAACACAATATCAAAATTCAAAACTCTAAATATATAGATAAAAAAATAAAAATCGAGCATAGATATTCGCACCCCTTCATGATGAATTCCGATTCGAGGCATGCATTTTCATTTCGTTTACTAGTGTCGGGATGTTATTCCTTCGTAAAGAGTAATAATATGCTCGCACGGTTTTTATGACCCTCTCCATCGTCGATGAAAAATAGTGTCGACATCTTCATACTCAAAAGTGTGTTTAGCCGGATGTTTTTTTCTCACCTGGAACTCTCTCCACAACGATTTTTTTTTTATTTCTTTTCTCTCTCGAAAGTTCGTTTTTTTAATGCTTCTTCGCTGAAAATGACAAAGAGACTTTATAAAGGCAAGACGTAGGTGATAAATATTCTCCAATATATAAACAGATGCTTCCCTTGAACACATAATGCTAAAGGTAGGAATTGATGGGGTTTTTTTTCACATAAAGATTATTTCTCTGTGTTCCCCCTAAATGCTGAGGACAAGTACTTGACATTATTAAGTGCTAATTTCCACTTAAAACACTTAATTGGGGATTTAATTAAATCATTATCCAAATGAGGAAATGATTCAATTGGGAGTACATTCACACACATTATATAATCATTGATTCTAACATTGGAGGGCATCTAGAACCCTAAAATGCATGAGCATCGACCGAAGTGTATGATTTTGTGTCAGAAGATACGATTCTCTAAAAAAAATATATTAGAAATTTAGAGGTGTAGATTATTAGAAGAAAATACAAAAGAAATATCTAAATTATATAAAAATTTTGAAAATTTTCAAAAAATACAACCGCCCCCAATATTTCCCTTGGTTATCCCTGTGTGCGAGTGAACCTCTCGAGGATTGAAATGAAAGGTCACATACACATGATGGAACAACACTACTTAGAATATTGTTCAAGAATATATATCAAATCACAAACTCTAAACTACCAATAACCTCAAACTCTTAATGAATTAAAGAATTAAAGAAGAGATTATTGAACGTTTAAACATGTCTGAATTCATAATCTAAGAAATTTTCGGTTCAAGAAGAGGGACAGAATGTTTGACTTTTTAGGGTAAACTTTCAATTTTCAAAGCATTAATATATAAATACATATACGTATATGTAAATGAAAGATACATTATATGATGCTCTATAGATTATTTCTCATTACAAGGTAAAGCCGGCTAGCGATTTGATGCTAGAATGATGGCAACTTTCAACTCATAAATTTAAAGCCAAAGAGCACCGGCATTTTTGAGCAAGTTCTTCAAGGAACCATTGAGATGAAGTGTCATGATGGTGTTAGCCGAACCGACGAATCTACCGCCAATGAACACGGCCGGGACCGTCGGGTTGCACCCGAGCCTCATCAAACCCCATTCCATTTCCTTGCCTCTGGCGTCTTCGTCGAGCTCGTATATCGCCGGGCTCACCCCTTGCTCGTAGAACAATCTCTTGATTGCATGGCACATGCAACACGAGCTCTTGCTGAAGATCACAACGGCTTTTTGGGATGCCAATTTCGCTAAGCGATCCATTTTTCAAGAGTATATGAGATTTTGTAGTTGCAATTGCTTACTTTGTTTTGGCTTGTGATGGATTTGAAGGTTTCATATAGATTTGTATATATAGGGCAACCCTAGGCCATGATTGAATAATATTTTAATATTGGGAAATAAAAAAAAAACTGAAGGTTCCTTTTGATATTGGGATCGATGCCACCTTCCAAAATCAACCCTTGATTTGACACACTTATACAAGTATAGAGAATTTGATGAGACCAACATTCTTTTTTCCCCCTCTTATTTTTTGACGAGGTAAAATGCCCCCATTGGCTTCCCATGTGACTGTGGGGATGGAGAGGGTGGGAGGAGAATGTCAACTTTGGATAGAATAGTGGGGTGTGTGTGTATATATATATTTGACATAATTCGATCGTGTTCATGAACTGATATAATACTATATCGATAATCGAATTTTGAATATATTTATATAAATTAATTTGATTAAATCGGTAAAGAATAATAGTCTACAACACATGATGTAAACTATTATAGCAGAAATTCAAATTGAGGAGTCCAATCATGTTTTCCGTACACTAAAATGGAATTGAAGCAGGAGTACGGACCACATTAAATCCTTTTATTTTACCATTTCTTATCATTATTTTAATTTTATCATATAGATTATAAAAAGTTAATTTCTGTTTGTCACCCCTAAAAACTTCTTTGAAATTGTTTATATTCATGGAACCGCATGGATTAAATTGAGATTACATTAAACTCGAACAACTTAATCAGACTAAATTCAGATTAAAATCGATTTTATTATAAAATTATATACTATATTAATTTCATATGGATCAAAATTTAAAACCCTCCAATTCTAGAGGGACTGATGTGTTGAAGAATAATAATAACCAATCTTAGTGAAATATGTGTTTGGAATAATTTATCAGCACGATTAAAGAATAAATCACGTGAAGATTTCGCAATCCTAAAAGGATATATTGATGCGCCTACCAAAGGATATATGTATATATTAAAGCATCATATTAGTTAAATAATGATTATCAAATATATATTATCATTTATTTTACTAATAATGTATAAACTTATAAACAATGAATACTGACGTAAAATTAGCCCAATAGGTCGAGGGTGAAAAATCAGTCTATTAGATCATATTAAAAATTAATTTAGAATATTCGGTAAATATTATAGTGCAGAGTAAATTTGTTACGTCCATATGACGAGTTTATCTAAATAATATTTTTTATTTAAACTCGTCGCGTTGAAGTAACGAGTTCCAATAAAATCTATTTTTAATTAAATTTTGTCTCGTTGGTGTGATAAGTTATAAAAATATATATTTTTATTAGAACTCGTCACTTGAGTGACGAGTTCCAAGTCACTGTAACAAATGTCGTATCTTAAAATAAAAAATCTAGTGTCGTATTGGGCTAAATAATTAGCCTTCCAACGGTATTGGGCCAAATTTACCGAATATTGATATATATCTTTAAAGTTAAGATGAATTTACATTTAAGGGTTATTTTTTAATTTTATATATATTTATGATTTTTGGACGAGTAAAATAGATAATTGAGATTATTTTTTGTATTTTTCAATGAATTTTTTTATTTTTTATTATTAATTTATTCTTATATTAAAGTTAAGATGAGTTTACATTTAAGTGTTATTTTTGGATGAGTAAAATAGGTGTGACACGTGAAAGATTTTTCCAATTCATCATTCTTTATTAATTTATTCTTATATTAAATAAGTATAAAATAAATAAACATTTAACAAAAAATACACTCAAACCGGATTCTTTATTCGAATGCCTCACCAATTCATAACCACAGGCCCCAAAGTAAGATTTGATATTTTTTTCCTTTGAAATTAAAAACCTAAATTATCTTTGACTATTATATTAATATATGATTTATCAAGTTTAGTATTTATTTTTGACAGTATAAAATCAATCAATTTGATCACAAATGATTTAAACTTTACATTGCTTATATATAAAATTTTCAAAGTGTTTAATTATAATTTTTTAAATATGTACTTATGTAATGATTGGAAGCAATAATTATATTATACTTATACAAATATAAATTTAAAACATGTCTTGTTTGCATTTATTTATTTTTGGATAAAATTTATATAGTATAAAGAATATCATTTTTAAATATTTTTTTTAAAATATTATTTGTATATATAATAAAAATAGTATTTTTCATATAAAACTACCTATTAGTTTTACACATTTTTAAGATCGTTGGATTGAGAGAAATTAAAGGTTGAGATTAACTTTTTTTTTCTTCTCGTGAACATATTCTCAATTTTTATTGTTAATCTCAACATTTAATTTTTCCCATCCAATAGTCCTAAAAAAGTGTAAAACTGAAAGAATTTTACACAGTTTAATTAGATCATGCCCCTATATGTGTGTGTGTGAGCGCGCACGCGTGTGTGCATGCGTGTGGTGTGTGTACATGTGCGTGTGTGCACGAACCAACTTATCTCAATGGTTAAAGGAATTGTTGTTGTTTCTAGAGATCATGGGTTGTGCATGTGCGGTTAAAGGAATTGTTATTGTTCCTAAAGGTCATGGGTTCGAGCACCTACAGCTACAACAGTGTGTGTTCGCGATTGCGTGCTCGAACCAACTTACCTCAGTTGTTAAAGAAATTGTTGCTGTTTTTAGAGGTCATGAGTTGTGTGTGTATGTGCGCACGCGCTCGTAGAGGTCATGGGTTCAAGCACCAGTAGATGTAGCAGGGTGTGTGTGCGAGCACACACGCGTAACATGATAATTGAGCGTTTATTGTCAAATGGTTATGAGTATTTAGCTTAACATCAAATATATATATATATATATATATATATATATATAAAGATTTGGCTCCTGGAATTCCGATTGAGCCATTACAATTCTGTTCCTTTGAATCTTTTAAAGCTTGTAAATAATTTGTAGTATCCATCTATATAGAGATAAATTTAATATAAAAAATTAAAAAGAGTTAACTGTATAAATGTATAATGATAAGGATTTGTTAAATATTTAATTTTAAAAAATAAAAGTTATGTTTTAATTTAATTAAAATTTAAATACATAAAATATTATTACATCAAAAAATTTGAAAAAATTAGAATCTCTTTCTCTCTACGTTGCTCCGTGCTTATATCTTTATATATTAAAGTTTTTTTATTAAGTTAAGGTAATTACGAATAATTAAAATTGTAGTTGCAAATAATATTATAACAAAATCGATCATTATTAAATATGTTATGCTTAAATTGGTAATCGAATTATATCTAATTATAAAATAAAATACATTTAAATAAAATTCATACACATAAAGTTAAATTATAATAAATCTAAAAATGAATTTAAACATGTGATCAAAATTCTCAAGACATCATGAAACATGCTTTATTTATGTTATTATTTATAATAACTTTTGCATCATATATCACCAAAATTTGTGTTACTAAATATTTTTTCTTTTAAAAAGGAAAACCACTAAATTAATAATTTACGAGGGAATCACTCAGGTATAGGAAAGTTCTCTCATCTTTATTAAGCCTGAAAATGAATCTAACGTTCACTACAACAGAAAAGGTTTATAGCAGTGTTTTTTACGCCTATAACTGCGTTTTAAAAGCGCCGCTAAAAGCACTCCCCAGGGAAAAAACGGCACAAGAGTGCCAGCTATACAAACGCCACAACGGTTAGCGATGTTTTACGTCAATAAAAAAAGTCATGTTTTTTAACGAGAAGTTCGTTTATGTTCGTTTATTTATTACACTGACAAATGTGAACAAGATTTTATGTTAATTAAATGAATGAATACGAACAAAGGGATCATTTGTTCATTTACGTTCGATAATCTGTTCATTTATGTTCGTTTATCTTCGTTGCCTAATCTCCAGACTCCGTTTGAAATATTAAGACCTAATAAATTTTAACCTTAAACCCATTAATATTTTAAAATTCAATTAATTTTAAACCCAAATAAAAATACTCAAATCAATTAAAGAAAATATAAATCATAAGATTATCTGAAAAGAAAAAAACTCTTCTAAAATATAAACACAATTAATTTTATGTTCTTTCGTTTATGTTCGTGCGTTTTTTGCCTGTTTATGTTTGTTATTTTGTGTTCATTTATCATTTTAACGAACGAACATGAGCAAGTTAAATTTCTTAATAATTGAGCACAAACAAGAAATTTCGTTCATTTAATTGTTCGTGTTCGTTCGTTTGTTCAATTAAAGTTAAACGAACAAACATAAACATACTCACATTTGTGTTCATTAATTTCGTTTACAAGCCTATTCATCTTTAGTCATTAGAGGCACTCATGTGGAATACATGATTAATTTACATTGATATAAAATTCAGGGTAAACTACGAGTTTAGTACCTAAACTATCAATTTTGATCCGTTTTAGTACCTAAACTTTTATTTTTTTCAAAACCATATATAACATTTAGTTTTTATTTTATTTTAGTAAAACATTCAATTTTAAAGTTAAGTTTTCAACGTAATATTAAAATGAAACAAAAACTAAACATTAGGTATATTTTTGAAAAAATTGAAAGTTTAGGTACCTAAACGGACCAAAATTGATACTTTAAGTACTAAACACGTAATTTATCCTAAAATTAAAGTTGTTGAGTTGTCTTAATAATTTTATTTATAATAAATTGAACATCATATTTCACATTCTATTCATATAGGTCATTCGTATTAAGTTTTAAGTAATTAAAAATATAATCATTTAATTCATGTAAAAAATTAAATTGTTAAAATATATATTAATAAAAATAATATTTAATCGATCATTGTCAAATGATTGTTATCCTTAGAAGTTTTAGATTTGAACATATCGTCTGCAGAGATATTTGAATATTCATTATCAAATAGTTGAGAGTTTCTTCAACAAATATTATCTTATAATCATCTAAGACTAATAAAAGTGTAAATTACATGTTTAATACATACTGTACAACTTTGGTTCATTTTAGTACCTAAACTATCAGTTTTTTTCAAAATCATAACTAAGGTTTAGTTTTTGTTT